GAAGCCGTACGCATTGTAGTCGTCAAACGCCTCTCCAACCCACCCCACTCACCCAAACCGACGACTCAAACACCAACGACGCCCCAGCCGCCCAATACACCCGGCGCCCTAGCTCACGGCGTCCACGCACCAATTCCTATCCGAACACCACTCACGCACTCATCTTCGTCATCGTACTCGATGTCCTCTTCCCAGACACTATTGCAGCATCCCCCCAATTTCGAATTGCACAACCCTGCGCCGTTTGAGATAGGGAGATGCGTGGTGAACTATTCCGCGACGGAGATTAGGCGTATCAAGGGATTGCATTCTACGCAGATTAGCGAGGCGTTGGGGTATGCGGATAGCGAGTATGTGGCGTTGAGGGAGAATATTGCGTTCTTTGGGGGTGAGAGGAGTAGGCCTAGTACGCCTGATTTTAGGCATGGGGAGAAGAAGGGTGAGGGAGTCGAGGCGCATTGATGATCGTAGCGAGACATAGGATCTAGCAAGACGAGCTTGCTCACGACGCAGACATTACAAAACGAGAGTGCTTTGCGTGTCAAGCTTGAAATTCTTGAATTGAATGAGTGATGGGATGTACTCCCAATTACGATACCAACCAACGCCAGCGGCAAACCCAAGACGCCGAGCAATGCGACTAAAGACAAGAAATTCAGTGACTACCGTGCGGAACGCCCCTTCGCCGTCGTACATGTTAGACATTATGTGAAGTTGGAACACCACCAAGACGAAGCTTAGTAGCTCTCCTCAGACTGCTCCGAGCTGCTGCGTACCTTGCCGCCAGATGTGCGCTCGTAGGCTCGTGAGCTGCCCTTGCAGTGCTTGAGGATCCAGGGGTGTACCTCGACATCCTCAAGCGCGATACGCTTCTCCGGGTCCAGCACGAGTAGTTTCTTGATGAGATCCCGCGCTTCTGAGCTGACGAAGCTCGGGACTGTGTACTCTCCCCTCGCAATCTTGCGCTGTGTCATGACTTGCGTGTCCTCGAATGGCGCTTCACCGACTAGGAACTCGTACGTCAGGACACCTAAGCTCCATAGATCGACCTTCTCGGAGTAGAAGTTGTCCTTGCCGCCACCGCGAAGCATCTCCGGGGGCAGGTAGTCGAGAGTTCCGCACATGGTGTTGCGGCGGTTGTTGGGCGCGTGTACCGACCAGCCAAAGTCGGAAATCTTGATCTCGCCATGGATGCCGACGAGGATGTTTTCGGGCTTGATATCGCGGTGCATGACGTGCTTCTTGTGGAGGTACTTGAGTGCTGCGGCCATCTGGGCTACATATTGTGCTGCCTTCCATTCGGGGAAGCGTTGCTCCTTGCGGAGGTGCTTGTATAGTTCTCCTTTACCAGCGAATTCGAGGATGAGGAAGATGCGCTTTGCGTCGTGGAAGTGGCCAAAGAGCTTGAGGATATTGGGGTGCGTGAGATGTGATTGGATCTCAATCTCTCGTCGGACCTGCTTCTCGACTTTGCCTTGCTGGATCTCAGACTTGTGGAGCACCTTCAGGGCACACACGAAGCCTGATGAGCGCTCCTTGGCAAGGTAGACGCGACCAAACTTTCCCTTTCCGAGAGGCTTGCCGATGTCAAACATGCCCAGATGCCATTGTTTGGGTGTTGCAGGGTTTGAGGGAACGGTGTAGATGGCGGAGTCGGTGAGCGTGCGGCGATGTGATTGGTGCTGTTCTGAGGGTCGGCTGGAGCTTGCTGAGATGGTAACCTTGGCAATGTTTGCCGTCTTTGCGTTTTGCGTAGCGAGCTTCTGTAGTGTCTGATGGGGCAGCTTCATGCGGTTCGCAGCTGATTGGGAGGACGATAGGCCAGCTACCGTTACGGTTGTGGATGCAGATGGCTGGGTGTTGTTAGAAAATGCCCTCCATGCGAGATCGGGCAGTACACACCTTCACCTTGTGGTAAGTGGACGTAGAAGTAACGTGCTCATCGTTCTCGTCGTGGATGGTGGTGCGCTCAAAGGCGGCTTCGAGGTTTGCGACGTCGGCCATGATGATGTCGAAATGCAAGCTGGAGCGACAGGAGGCAAGCAATAGGGCCACGAAAGACCACTGATAGCTATATTATGCTATGGGATGGGTGACAGTTGGTGGGTGTGGATGTTTGCAGGGTTCGAGGACGGATGGCAGCTAGTTAACCCAGACAAACAAGTGGGTTTCGTGCGTTGTCAAGGAAACAGCCATCGGCCATCGGCCATCGGCGGTCGGAGCGCTGGTTCGCGCCCCACCACGCTGAAGCTCCCCGCCATCGCCATCGGATCCACCTGCAGGTGTCTGCGAACAATTTATACACACAGCATTCTTCAGGGTCTCGTCGCGTAAGTCCCCAGTTATGGCTTCCCTCAATGGCGCGCCCGCCGACACTGTGGCACCCGGTGTCGCCGACACATCCATTACCAAGGAAGGCTTCAAGATCACCACGCGCAAACTGCCCATCCTCAAGGCCGGCCCAATAGAGGACATGACCAAGAAGCTCGGAATAGCGCCGCCCGAGATGATATTCGGAGACAACATGATGCGGATAGAACACGCCCAGAGTGGCTGGTATATTGAGTTCAATGCCTTCGATGCGCTGGATCTGGTGGACAAGACAGGCGAGAAGATGTTCAAGGTCTCCTACTCGAAAGAGTGGCAGCAAAATAGGTAAGACCAAAGAAACAGTACAGAGAGACCCTGTAGCTAACTCAGATCAGACAGAAGCAATTTGAGGACATCAAAGAAGTCGTGAAGCCGTTCGACTGGTCCTACAGCACAGATTACAAAGGCACCACACCACCAACGCCCGCCTTCGAGCCTACCGAGACCCCTATACCACTCCACCTTCTCAAGCGTCCCGACCCGATACACTTCTTCGACGAGCTGGTACTCTACGAAGACGAGCTAGCGGACAACGGCATCGCCATGCTATCCTGCAAGATCCGCGTCATGCCACAGCGCTTGCTCCTCCTTGTGCGCTTCTTCATGCGCTTGGATGATGTTGTATTCCGGATACGCGACACGCGCGTGTTTGTCGAGTTTGGGGACAACGTGGTGCTAAGAGAGTACACGGCGAGGGAGGAGAAATATGAGGAAGTGCGGAAGAAGCTCGCAGGACGGAAGGAAGACGTGCTTGCGATAATGCGAGACCCTAACCGCTTGGCGGAACATATACCTATAGTGGAGCAGAAGATTGAGGGGTTGCAACTGAAGTGAGCAAGCGCGGCTCGACAGAACCTTGATCATCACTCATCAGCCCAAAACCAAAAGCACTAAACGCGCGGAGGCACAACGGCGACCCAAAACTGCGTCGACAATCCCAAGGTCAGTCTGACCGGTGCATACGTTGATTAGGCCTTCGCTCATCGCCTGTTCAGTAATCACGCGAACAACCAGGAAGCACGCCTCTTGCCCCTGGAATCCGCCGTCTGACAGGCCTCAATCCCAGGCGATATATACTCTCGTTCCAGAATTCCCATCGAATACACGCCAATAAGCTTAGCTGGACACAAGATCCTGATTATCAAATCACTACTCAGTACATACCGCCTAGACAAGGGGCCGGCATAAGGTCTGCATGTGGACTGCATGTGGACGGATAGCGAAGGAGAGTTTCACCGCTCTCGAGCAAGATAGCCTTTACAATGCAACCCCGATTACATAAACGGATGTTGTTGACTGAAAGCTGTCTGACCTCCCAAGAGCGCCGCTACTAATGAGGCTTGCAACCTCATGCAAGGTCCATGGCTGATACAGCAGTAATGGTGCGAGTCTGAACATCTACGTACAGCTATGGTCAATGCCGCTCTGTGTCCTGGTACCGAGTTTGTGCACAGTCGTCCAATGTATTGTTGCGCGCCTCGAAATCTTGCTGTCACTGCGCCCAGACAGGCCTCGAGTACATTCGTCTCTGATCCTGACTATGGAAGCGCAGAATTGAAACTCAATCGCTAGACTCCATCCACGTTGTCCAAGTGTCTTCGCTCGTTGATCTTGATCAGCGATCCCACCGTGCGCGAACGTTTAGGGCCCGTAGGGCGGTTCCTGCTGTATTGCTTCCCCTCAAAAAGCAATTAGGTTCTGTCGATGCCGACACAAGCAAGTGACACTGCGTTAGCGCTGCCTGACATAACCAAGGAGACGCGTCCGCCTGCCAACATCAAACGGAGATTACGTTCGTCCGAGATTGGCCTTGTTCAGGGTTCCGTTGTGCACCGCCCCATATTACGACCGGCGGAGAGTGGAAAGTTGACGGTCCTCAACAGACTGGAAATCACCGGCATTTGTACAACAGATAGCCGCTGCTCGGATGGTCCGGATGGCTGGAATGACGACAAGGGTTTGTACGATAGGATAACGGGTACCGAAGACGCGAGAGTGCATGGCAGGCGTAAGGAGGATCCCGAGCGATCTCTCGTCCGAAAGCAGTAAGCTGTCGATCGCGGACCAACATAAGCGTTTTCGACGGGCAGCCGCAATCTTGCTTTACGACCACCAGAATCACGCAAAGAGTGCGCATCGAGCGCAGAAGCTGCCTCGTCACGACAGCCACCGCATGTCTGCTTCCATTACGGACTGTGATGGTGGGCGGATTGCTTGGCAACACCCTCATCCGTGGCCGTCCGGCCTGTGATGTCATATTCAACATTGAGAAAAGCAGTCTCGGCGCCCAGTGTTGTCGCACTAATTGCGGCCTCGAACAAATACGCATCGAGCATGCTGAACTTGGATCCGCTCACTTTGAGTCCGGCCCGCGTAGCGCACGCACGTCCCAATCATCTACTGCGGCGAAGGACGAATCTCAATCCACAGGCCCAGCCATCTCGTCCGAGGCCATGGCAGATGGTGCAAGACTAACCGCGGCCATGGGGAGATTCCGCTATCCGGGGTGCTATGACAACATAGGCCCAACGTGGCTAACAATTGATATATGTTAGATAGTCGCAGGTGGGCACCAGCAATACATCATCGACGCCGACGTTACTCGCCATCACTTGCCGTTGAAAATCACCATGGCTGACCACCAGTCCCACGGCGAGACTTTCATGTCGAGTACGTCGCAGTCACATCAAACACATTTCAGCTCTTCCACCCAATCGGGGTCAGGAACCCAGACTCCTCCCCACGGCGTCACGCGAACTACTTCTGGTCGTCCGACCTACTTCCCAGATGGTCATGCTCACGGCACCCACGGAGTCTTCTCATCACACTCCTACACGCATGAATCGTCGACCGCACATGAAACATCAACCGGCGCAGGCTTGTTTTCCTCCACCGATGGCACTGAATCCCAGCACAGGCAAGAGGAAGTCGTGCCGCTCGAGAAAGTCAACACATCGAGCTCCTCAGATTCTTCAGACACGCGGTTAGGATCTAATGGACAAGCCCCGAAAGTCAAGCGAACCGGCACTTCATCCTCTTACGAAGATGCAGCCCCAGCCACTCTTCAACGCCGAGTCACACGGGCTGAGATCGACGACGACGGCAGGCAGGAGTTGGCGCGCATCTTCACCTCACAGTCAAAAGTGACTCAGCAGATGAGCATTGCGCAGCCAAACGATCCCCGTGTGGACCCCTCCAACGAGGCTTTTGATCTCAGCAGGTTTTTGAACATGTTCCGGAATCAGCTGGAGGGCGAGGGCATCGAAATGAAGAAGGTCAATGTTGTGTACAAGAACCTGGACGTCTTTGGTTCGGGCAAGGCTCTGCAGCTTCAGAGCACTGTTTCAGACATGTTCATGGCACCCTTCCGAGCTAAGGAATTCTTTGGCAAGTCGGAACGCAAGCAGATTCTCCACAGCTTCGACGGTATCATACGAGCTGGCGAGCTGTGTGTTGTCCTTGGTCGTCCCGGCTCTGGTTGCTCCACACTTCTCAAGGCTCTCACTGGAGAGCTTCATGGTTTGGACACGGATGACTCGGTCATCCACTACAACGGCATTCCCCAGGAGCGTATGCGCAAGGAGTTCAAGGGAGAGACAGTGTACAACCAGGAAGTCGACAAGCACTTTCCTCATCTGACTGTAGGTCAGACACTGGAATTTGCCGCGGCTGTCAGAACACCATCGAACCGACCCGGCGGAGCGAACCGCGATGAGTTCGCCCAGTTCATGGCAAAGGTCGTCATGGCCGTACTTGGGCTGAGTCACACCTACAACACCAAGGTCGGAAACGATTTCGTTCGTGGTGTGTCAGGTGGAGAGAGGAAGCGAGTCTCCGTAGCTGAGATGCTACTCGCCGGCGCTCCATTTGCGGCATGGGATAACTCGACACGAGGATTGGATTCAGCCACTGCGTTGAAGTTCGTCAAGGCTCTGAGGGTCGGTTCCGACTTGGCTGGAGGTGCTGCTGCGGTGGCTATCTACCAGGCTAGTCAAAGCGTGTACGACTGCTTTGACAAAGCTGCTGTCCTCTACGAAGGTCGCCAGATCTACTTCGGACCCGCCAATGAGGCCAAGGACTTCTTTGAGCGTCAAGGATGGTAAGAATTCCAAAATGACGAGTCACCTGACAACAACTAACGCAGAACAGGTACTGCCCCCCTCGTCAAACCGCTGGAGACTTCCTCACAGCCGTTACCAACCCACAAGAAAGGCAAGCCAAAGAGGGCATGGAGAACAAGGTGCCTCGCACACCGGAAGACTTTGAGAAGTACTGGCGCGAGTCCCCTGAGTACCAGGCGCTTCTTGAGGAGATCAAGGACTTCGAAGCAGAGAACCCAGTCAACGAGCACGGCACTCTCGAGCAACTACGCCAACAGAAGAACTACATCCAGGCTAAACACGCTCGTCCCAAGTCACCTTACCTCATCAGCGTCCCGATGCAGATCAAGCTCAACACTCGACGAGCGTACCAACGCATCTGGGGCGATATCGCCTCTACAGCAACACAAGCTGGTCTCAATGTCGTCATCGCTCTTATCGTCGGTTCCATTTACTTCGGTCACTCTACAGGCTCCAGCTCGTTCCAAGGTCGCGGAGCTGTCATCTTCCTGGCCATTCTCTTCAACGCTCTTACTTCCATCGGTGAAATCGCAGGTCTATACGCCCAGCGGCCTATCGTCGAGAAGCACAACTCCTACGCCTTTTACCACCCGTCTACCGAAGCTATAGCTGGTATTGTTGCCGATATACCTGTCAAGTTCATTCAGGCAGTCGTCTTCAACATCATTCTGTACTTCCTGGCCCAACTGCGGTACACTGCAGGACAGTTCTTCTTGTTCTTCGTGGTTACTTACATGGCAACCTTCGTCATGGCAGCTATCTTCCGAACGACTGCTGCTGTTACCAAGACCGCATCGCAAGCCATGGCAGGCGCTGGTGTCTTGGTCCTCATTCTGGTCATCTACACTGGTTTCGTCATCCGCATCCCCGAAATGCCTGACTGGTTCGGCTGGATTCGCTGGATCAATCCAATCTTCTACGCATTCGAGATCTTGCTTGCGAACGAGTTCCACGGGGTCGACTTTCCCTGCGATGCCTTCATCCCGTCAGGACCTGGATACGCACAAACTGGCGACTCATTCATTTGCAACACACAGGGTGCAGTCGCCGGACAGACGTTCATCAACGGTGACAGCTACATCGAAGTCTCATACTCCTATTCTTGGAGCCATGTGTGGCGCAACTTTGGTATCCTCTGGGCTTTCCTGATCTTCTTCATGGTCACCTACTTCGTCGCTGTTGAGGTCAACTCTTCCACATCCAACACTGCCGAGCAACTCGTCTTCCGTCGTGGACATGTTCCCGCATACATGCAGCCTGGTGGCAAGGGTTCCGATGAGGAGTCTGGAGAGACGCAGACAGGAGAGCATGAAGGTGCTGGTGATGTTAGCGCTATTGAGGAGCAAAAGGGTGTCTTCACGTGGCGCGACGTTGTCTACGACATTGAGATTAAGGGCGAGCCGCGTCGTCTGCTCGACCATGTCTCTGGTTTTGTCAAGCCTGGTTCGATGACTGCACTTATGGGTGTCTCGGGAGCTGGCAAGACCACGCTCCTGGATGCTCTGGCTCAGCGGACCACAATGGGAGTCATCACTGGAGACATGTTTGTCAATGGCAAGCCTCTTGACCCTGCCTTCCAACGCTCAACCGGTTACGTGCAGCAACAGTAAGTTTTCCAGCTTATATCTGTCTTATCACAAGTACTAACCATCCCAGGGATCTTCATCTCGAGACTTCGACCGTCCGTGAAGCGCTACAATTCTCTGCCATGCTACGCCAACCAAAGAGTGTTAGCAAGAAGGAAAAGCACGAATACGTCGAAGAGGTCATCAAGATGTTGAACATGTCCGACTTCGCCGAAGCTGTTGTCGGTGTGCCTGGCGAGGGCTTGAACGTCGAACAGCGCAAGCTTCTGACAATTGGTGTTGAGCTTGCCGCGAAGCCCAAGCTGTTGCTCTTCCTTGATGAACCTACCTCCGGTCTTGATTCACAGGTCAGTACCATTGCATTATCTGACGTGAGATCATGATTGCTAACTTATGCGCAGAGTTCCTGGTCCATCATCGCCTTCCTCCGCAAGCTCAGCTCGGCTGGCCAAGCCATCCTCTGCACCATCCATCAGCCCAGCGCCATCCTCTTCCAAGAGTTCGACCGTCTCCTCTTCCTTGCCCGCGGTGGTAAGACCGTCTACTTCGGCGAGCTCGGCGAGAACTCTCAAACACTCCTCGACTACTTCCAGAACAATGGTGCACGCAAGTGCGGTGAAGACGAGAACCCAGCTGAATACATGCTGGAGATTGTCAACGCCGGCAAGAACGATAACGGTCAGGACTGGTACGAGGTGTGGAGAGAAAGCGAAGAAGCCAAGGGCGTCCAAAGGGATATCGACCAACTCCACGAGGCCAAGAAGAGCGAGGAACTCAACATTGCAGCAGAAACCGGTGGCGGCGAGTTCGCCATGCCATTGACCACGCAGATCGTCGAATGCACATACCGAGCCTTCCAGCAATACTGGCGCATGCCCGGCTACGTCATGGCTAAATTCGGTCTCTGTGCCATCGCGGGTCTCTTCATCGGTTTCTCTTTCTACAAGGCCAACACGAGTTTAGCAGGCATGCAGACGATCATCTTCTCGGTTTTCATGCTTACTACCATCTTCTCGTCGCTTGTGCAGCAGATCCAACCCCTCTTCGTCACCCAACGCTCTCTCTACGAGTCTCGCGAGAGGCCGTCCAAGGCATACAGCTGGATCGCCTTCATGATCGCCAACATCGTTGTGGAGATACCCTACGGCATCATCGCCGGTGTCTTCATGTTTGTGACATTCTACTACCCCGTGGTTGGTGTGAGCCAATCCAGCGAACGCCAGGGCTTGGTCCTGTTGTTCTGCATGCAACTCCTCATCTACACATCCACTTTCGCCGACATGACCATCGCAGCGCTACCCGACGCCGAGACAGCGTCTGGCCTCGTTTCTCTCCTTACTCTCATGAGCATCCTGTTCAACGGTGTCCTGCAGCCTCCGGACCAACTCCCCGGCTTCTGGCTCTTCATGTACCGCTGCAGTCCCTTCACATACTGGATCGGCGGCATGGTCTCCACCATGCTCTCCGGCCGCCAAGTCGTCTGCAGCGAACGCGAAGTCTCCGTTTTCGACCCCCCAGCCGGCCAAACATGCGGTGCCTACCTCGCCGACTACGCCGCTGTCGCCGGCGGCACTATCCAGAACCCAGACGCGACTGCTGCCTGCAACTACTGTTCCCTCACCAACGCAGACCAGTTCCTGGCTGGTTCTTCGATTTACTACGGCGAAAGATGGAGGAACTTCGGCATCATCTTTGCTTTCATCGGGTTCAACGCCGGTATTGCTATTCTCACTTACTACCTCTTCCGCGTTGCCAAGCTTAGCTCGTTTAAGAGCTTCTTCCATAAGAACAAGAAGGGCGCGAAGGCCAAGGGTACAGCGGATAAGGCACAGGAGGGTGCTGAGAAGGCGGCACAGCAGGGTGGACACCCTGGTGAGAGGAGTGGGGAGAAGGACGCTGGTACTGCTTAAGCGTTTTGAAAAGTAGTCGTTGATGTTTTTTGAGCGATTTGTTTCTTTCTCTTTCGTATGCATAGATTTTTTGGGTTATCTTGTTTAATCAGTAGTTAATATCACATATTGATCTTCAATCATTCAGCTCGTGGTTCCTCGGTGAAAACGAACAACATCAGTCTATCTGGAGCATTGCTCACACTGAAATTGTCAATATCTTTAGTGGTGGTTGGCGATGCTAATAGCTTCGTAGCAGAGGTGATGCGCAAGACTAAATCAGGAAGTGGTCTATCTTGCTGCTCGAGGGCGCGATGGCTGCATGTAAGGAAGGCGTCTGGGTCACGGGAACACGCGTGCTCGCTCCTTCCCCAACAGCCAACTGCAGCCTGGCCTCCAATATGACGTGTTACGCGACGCGTACTCTCTTCTGATCTCATGTCGCGTTCTCTCGTCTTCACTTCATCACTCACCTTCCGCAGCAAAGATCAGCACCGCCAACTGTCATCCGCAGTAGTGCAACACCGCTACCTCAGTCAACTTATCCACCACTTACCATACCCAAAACCACTACGTTCTCAAGATGGGTCATTGGGGATACGGTGAGTACCAAACATGCCACATATAAACAATCTCATCGACTAACACAACGCCAGGTCTCTTCCAGTCGGACCAGGACTTTGACAACATCAGCGATATGGGACACTTCGCTGGACTCAGCAAACTCGAGGATGAAGCTAAGGCTGCCCTCCGAGCCCAAGGCAAGACCGAGGAGGAAGCAGATCACGCTGTTTACTATAGCATCCATGCCGGTGGTTGCTCAGACAAAGAAGTGGTTCGCAAGTGGCTCGACTCCGGCAATCTTGTCAAGATGATCGCCGAGAGGGAGGCGAAGATCCTGGCCCCACTCACTGGATCATTGAATGAGCAGTGCGAGCACTTGTTCTCCGACCCCTGCTACATGTACGTCATGCTCGGTGCCTGTGCCATGACACACGGATGCCAACTCCCGGCCTCATTCCTCGTCATGCTCAAGAAGGTCTACACCGAAGGCGGCCTCAAGCCCGACGCTCAGCGCCAGATGCATAAGGCTCTGTTCGGTCCAAACGGCTTCAAGAACGGAGTACCATACGACTTCGAGTCAAAGTCCCTCTTGGAGGTGGCCAACTCTGAGCCTGGAGAGCCCGACAATGGACTTGGTTACCGAGGCTTGAATGTTCCGGACCCGCTTCTCTTCAGTCCTGTCAGGACGAACTGTTCTACCTCGCTGGTCGTCAAGGAACTTCGCAGCCAGGCCCTCAAGCCTGATGAGTGCGGTGGTTGTGGTATCGATCACAGGCCGAAGGGCAAGAACCTGCTCACTTGCTCCAAGTGCATGAACCGCAAGTACTGCTCAGTAGCTTGCCAGAAGAAGCACTGGAAGCTTCACAAGAAGGTCTGCGAGCCTGCCGAGGTGTCGTTGTAAGCTGTGGGCTTCCCACGCCCGAGGGCTTCCGAGCGATATGCGTAGTGCAGGACTAGGACTGGGTATCGGCTATGATGGTGAAACGAAGAGAGCAAGATGTGGTAGTCGCACCGTGAAGCGGTCTGGTTCTCATCTGTTATGACATTAGTGTATGTAATATGAGACGAAATACAATCACGACTTACAAGATATATCCATGCAATCATGAATATCGCTGTAGTGGACTAGAAGTACGACCGGGAGCAGATTGTTAAGGAATAGGCATTCATAACACATTGTTATTCGACAAGAAATACCATCTTCGGTGAACCCACCAGAATGAACCCATAACCCAAGGTCTACTCTCACCATCCCACATCAACCCCATGCTGCTCTAACAATACCCAGTACCCCGCCCATCTACACCCACCCTCCAACAGATCAAACATCTCGACCTTCCTTGCGAGACCTATCAACAGCATCCCTATTCACTCCATCCTACCAAGCAAACATGCACTTATTATTCAACAGCCTCGCCCCCAACATATCATACTCATACCGACTAATCCAGCCATCATTGCCATGCCCGCTCAACCGCCCAAACACACTACCACCCTTCCACGCCACAACCTGCGGATCAAAGTCACGCGGCGGCGGCCCCACAAGAATCTCTTTACCGTACCCGGGACGCAACTCACGGAGTCGCATCTCGAGGAACTCGCGTAGACCGGGTGTTTTGGACGCGCCGCCAACGAGCATGATGCCGCCGAAGAAGTCGCGTAGTTTGCGGTCGTCGCCGCGGGCGCCTTGGGAGAGGGATTCGAGGATCGCGGCGTCGAGGGAGTGGATGGGGAGGATGGCGTCGCGGGCTTCTGCTAGCTTGGTCTTTTCGTGGATCGGGTCGCGGAAGAGGAGGGGGGCGCCGTCTGTGTCGCCCATGGGGGTGTCGCGGTCGGGATTGGGCGTGTTGCTGCCTTCGGGACCGGGTGAGCCGGCTACGGAGGAGCGGGGTGTGCCTTCGTTGTCGTTGAGGCGGCCGAGGAGGTTGAAGGGGTTTGGCTGGGGGCGTTGGGGTGTCGAGGCGGGTGCTGTGTTATTTACGGCTTCTGAGGCGCCGTTGATGGTGGGTACGACGGGTTTACCGGCTGCGGCCTCGATGACGGCAATTTGTGCTTGCGAGATGGGGTCGTTGGGTGAGCCGTCGTAGAGATCGACGGATCGTGGCACGACCTTCCTCCTGTTCTCGAGTTTCCGTGCGTTCTCAAAGATGGAAGGCTTGAAGAAACCCTGAATTCGTTAGCAAGGTCCATCTTACATAATTGTTGAGGTACTCACCATGACAGAAAGCATGGTCTCGTCGTACGTCTTGAAAGTGTACTTCCGTGTGTCTTGGCCAGAAGCGCGAAGATGGAAGTCCCACGTTTGTACCGTGACCGAGCCCTCATCCATAGAGCAGAACTTCTGCTTCAGCTCCTCGGCAAGGAGGAAGTCGTATCTCCGCTTTAGGTTCATGTCCGCATATGGGAAATGACCGTAGAGCATCATCTTGATGAACGTCTCGGTCACATCAGCTCCACCCATCTTGAGGTTGACACGGGACTCCTCAGCACATAGCCCCTCGTCAACGCAACAGATCGATGTCTTCTGAGCACCGATATCGACTACGCAGGCAACACCGTAGCCAGCACCGAAAGTAGCCGAAAGCGACTCTTGCTGCAAGCAGACCTTTCCAAGGCCAAGATCCCGCATGAGAATGTCCAGTATCATAGTGACGTATTGTCGCTCGTAGAGGTCTGGTATGATAAAGACGCACTTGTAGTTGACAAGGTCTTTTAACCTGGTAATACCAAGTTGATTCCTGAAAGCCTCTTCTAATATCTTGGAGAGATCATGGTAGATCTGATTACGGTCGCGATAGTCCTTCTCATTGAACGTGCCGTTCCGTATCGGCCAGAACAGCTTGTATCGTGGGTTGGATCTCTCGGGTATCCGCAGCGCATCGTGCCCAGTAAAGAAGTCCGGTGCCTTCTTGGGATCTGCAGGTAGTTCTGTCCACTCGATGCGGTTGATGTCATTGTGTTCGGAGATGATGTCTGGGGGGGATTTTCGGTTGAAGTTGATTACGAGGTCTTTCGAGTTGGGTAGCACTCGTCGCTTATTGGAACGCATCCTCGTCCTAAGTTCGGATGACATGGCCATGTACTGATCGGCAAACTGGTCACAAGTTAGCATCGTCCGTGCAATTAACACCCAAATACTCACATCCTCTCCGAACCACTTCTCAGGCAGCGCATCGGCGGGCACGGCACCTTCGACCTTCATCCGCTTGGGGCTAGGCTCTCCCTCATCCTCCTCGTCCTCACTCTCCTTCCATTTGCGCGCGATGACCATAGGCACAGTTTTCGGGAGTGCGTCCGATCCAAGGCCTATCCTCAAGTTCTGGCTGCCAGGATGTATCACGATGAGCTTGGAGATGTCGGTTCTTGATGCGAAGGAAACCTCGGCATCTTCCATTGTCTCGTCCGCAACCTGTGGTGTCGCCCCTTCCGTTGCTGGCACCCCCAACGCGCGTGCGCGATCCTTATCCCTGGCTTCTTGTACTATGCGCGCCCTCTCTTCATCCTTGGGGTATCGTACGGCGAGGAACTGTTCGTCGCGCTTGAGGAACTCGGTGTAGTAGTTCTTTTGGTTGATCATGCCGACCTGGGGCCATGTCGTAAGGTCCATGTTGTTGTCCGTTCGCTCTAGACCTGCATGCTTGTTAGTTGCCATATTTGCGCTGTGATGTCCCGGTGCCGTACCCTCTTCCCTCAATTGGGCTCTGCCCGATTTCTTTCCAACCATGATGCCGATTCTTTCAGCTGTGTCTGGCAATTGAGGGGGTCGTGAAGTTGCAGTAGCCTTCGCAGGGTTACGTGAGCGTAGGCGGTGTCCAAATCTCGAAGGCGATCAATGCCGTCGTGTCAGCGGGATGACTCTGGTGCGCGCACACCGATATATGCGAAAAGAGTCGTGTTAGGGTCGTACAGTAGCGAAATTCGACCGTGGGTGTAGCTGGGGAGAGGTTCGTTGGCGATGCCGCTCGTCTGAGTGGTGGTGAAGGCTAGCCGGAGGTTGTTCGTCGCGGTCGCGCGTCTGGTGATTGGATCGCGAAGCTACCTAGGTACGCGCACGACCCCTGGCCCTTAGAACCATACATCACTTCCACCAGCTCGTCATCATTCCCACAACACTTGCGACAATGGAGGCCATTGCTGAGAAGCACGCGGGCTTCATCTCCCGCCTGACGAATCTCCTCGATCTCTTCGTCGCGATGCGTTACATATCCCCATCTGATGTAATTCGCCCACCTCACTCTTCCGAAACCGTCGCAACTTCAATCTTCGAGAAAATTGGCCTGGATTCTGAGGTTATCGACCTGATCAGATCAATTCCTGCAATGCGCAGCGACATCGTTGAAGGGTACCAATGGTTCGGTGTCGAACTGACCCCCCGCTCAAAAGCCGTAACGTACTTTGACAACCCCGGTAACCCAGATTTCGTCGAGGATTTGCGGTGGGGTGAAAGGTACCACGACGAGAATACCAAACTGCTGCCACCTCACATGTTGAGGTTGGCAAGTGGTGATACCTATAGCGGGCATTACGGTACTGACTTGATCTATGACACTCAGGACAGTATGTCAATTGCTTTCGAGCAGATAGGTTTAGCGTTCACAGACTACAGAAACAATAATTGAATGGTCTTCAGTTGGACCTGACCGCAATGAATGGGAGAAAGCACCTAGACGACCAGCTGAGACCGTGCTTGATGAAATCATCGCAAGGTTCCTAAGCCTGGAATGGGTTCCGTACTATGACCCCTCAGAGGATGACGATCCCTCCGATCCACCCGCGCGCAAGATCTTGGAAGATCCTATCATCATGCAGAACCTCTTTCCTGGAGGCATTCGTCTTCCTACTGAGACAACCGCTGCAATTCAGTATATGAGACAGCACCATGGCTCAGATGGTGCTGATGGATGGCGACGGAGGATCAATCGTTTCCGAGCGTGGCAAAAGATCTATCAAGATTGCGGATGGGGCTCAGCAGTTTTTGACATCGAAGCGTTTGAACTGAAAAGATCAAAGCTAATTGAGGCTCTAGAGGAGCTCGATAATTTGGAGTCGGAGGCACGCAATCGCCCGTGGCTTGTTTCTGTCGGTGCACAGCAGGTAGTTGGAGAAGATGCTCCCACTTTGGAGCAGATTACCGCACGGCTTGATCATTTCCTTGTTCAAGCTGCTGGAGAGCTCGCTGTTTAAAGTCGCTGCAGCCATCGCCGAGGCTATGCCGGACTGCGTCACTTGGGAATCAAGAAACGCTCATATAATCAAGTGTTCATTTCCCTGTGATATCTCTATATGCTTCAGAGGGCCGTCACACCGCCACTTCATGCAAGAAACTTCCGAACAGGTCTGCAGACTACACTCAGATAAAACAAGTGAACTAGAAAGACTTTTTGGTAATGCAGGCTCCATAGGGTTCAGTTTCTCCCTATGTTGACATGTCGTCATGACTATGTACATATCGTGTCATTCGTGAAAACGTCTCACACATCCCATCGTAACACCATGGCACATGTTATCCAGAACTTCCATTTCTTACAGCACCATGTTGTTGTTCAAGAGGAGTAGCTACGCCTCCTTAGATAAGCCAGGTAGCAGCCAGTACGCCGAAGAACAAGGCAATGAACGAGGCCCTATTATCTCCAGCCTGACCCTTCTTAGTCTCAGTGGCCGCAGCAGTTGTGGTGTCTGACGCATGGGTAGTGCCCGATGCATGGTCAGAGGCATGGCGGGTGACCGTGGAGGTAACAGTCATCGTGGACTCTTCATCCCTTGCATTCAGCGTGGGGAAGATGCCGGGGGTGTAGCTGATAGCGGTACCGTTCGCGAAAGGTGGAGCATGATGACCACCTGACGGTAAACGCGCCATCGAAGACGTCGAAGCAGCCGAAGATGTGGAATCCAACGCAGACGAGGAAGCCGCCGAAGACGCGGAAGCTGACCGAGACGTGGAAGCCACCGAAGACGAGCTACTAACAGTATGGCTAGGAAACAATCCAACCGATCTGCTCTTGCTAGATGATGGCGGACCGACGGACGACACTATCGATGGTACCTCAGTGCGAGACGCCGACGACGATCCGCCCGAGACATGAGAGGATTTGACATCGGTAGGGAGGACCGCGGTGAAAGACCAAGTGATGGACGGGGGAGGAAGCGACGAAGACGTAGAGCTGGGAGTGACCTTGATGACTGATCTAGTGATGGTAACTTGGACGGTTGACTGGATGATCACGGTGGTAGTGGGCTCCTCTGCGGGAGGACCTCCAACGTCCGAAGTGGCTGAGACGGGTTTGTGGGGTAGAGGCTGTGCTGAAGGAGCAGTTCCGACGTCCGAGGTAGGAGCGGGAGCGGGAGCAACGCTAGAGGTCAGGCTCTGATCACCCGTCACAGTGGTTGTCCTGGTGGTAGTGACGGTGACAGTAGACGGACCTTCGGTCTTCTCGGGACACAGATAGGTGAGGGTAGTCTCATAGCCACGTAGCAGTACTGCATCTGTGCAGAGCTTTGGGAGCTCGGCGCAGTGGTCGTCACGTGCAGCTACAGCATGAGCGAGGACGTGGTTGATAGCGGGATTCCATTGGGCAGACTCTGCGGCAGCGCCTGCTATATTTCCGTTAGCAAGACTGATATAGTGGGTAAGTGCGCTGGTTGGAGACTGTTTACCAGCAACTGCGACCATGGTGAGTGCGCGTACAGTGTTCATCTTGGATGGTGAACGTTTGTATCGGAAGGAGCGACTGGGGTTGAAGTGGGTAGAGGGAAGTAGCGAGTGTGAGTAGCGAAAAGAGTGTGGAATGGATCAAATACTTCAACGAGCGTGGTGAGGTGAGTGGAAGCTGATGATTGCAAAAGAGGTAAATGTTTTGTTGTTATGAGAGCGATTGCGGTCAACGGCACTAGCTCCATTGGCCCTTGAGCAGCCAATAGCGTCGAGGGCAATTACTGGGACGAGTGAATGGAAGATTGATGTGCGTTTGCACTCGCGCTTGCTCTACTCTCCACTGCTGCTGGTGGGATCGCGCAAGTGACGTCATTTTCGTGAAATGATGTCGCTTTGTAGAGGCGTTTATAGCTAGAGGCTGTTTGGGGTGGTGAATGAACGGATATGGTGAGGGAACAGAACGTTTTGGTCTAGGATCAGAAAGCTAAGTCCGAAGCCCGGCAACCGCCCACCATCAGCACTCGCAGAATACAGATCGTTCTGTGGCAACGAAGCTTCTCCGTTCTGTAAAGAGGTCTCCTCAGTCCCCATACAGCTCCATCAAGTGGTTCAGCATCTTCCGCTGTAATTCGAGAAGCTGCTCTTTTGATATCTTACCGCCCGCCGGTGTCGGCTGCGAGTCGGTGACTTCTGTCGGGTCGTAGCTAGAGCCAACTACCAGCTGTGGCTTTACACCAAAGAATGGAACACCCAAGACTTTGAGTGATGATGTTTGTGAGTCGACCATAGCTTTAGAAGCTCGATATACCTTTGCATCATATTGGTCTAGTTCCTCCTTCTCACGTTCTGGTGTCTATGCCGTGTCAGTGATCATCCATCAGCAGGGGGTGTAACTGAACGTACACGAAGCGCGGGTGTATTTTCCAAGAGACCTGGTAAAGATCTGCGAACGTTAGTCACATGTCGTGACAAACGGCTTGTCACGTACAGCGCAGCTCGATGAGTCCGTTCGTTTTCCCGCTTGAACTTATGTTCGTCGATCAGATTCTTGCGTCCAGCCTCCCAAGACTTGACATTTGACTCTTGATCTTTCATCAACTGAGCAATTTGTAAGCATTGCGGATGAGGTCACATGATGGTCTGGCTTACTTTGCGAACTGCAGGAGCAAAGTCTGGGTTCTGGGAAGCTATCTTGCTCACACAGCGGAGACCTTGTTTCCATTCGGTGATGGTAGAAGGATCGATGAACGGAGAAGAAACTCTGTCTTGTGGTTTGGGAGGTGGCTGTCGATGTTGAGGAGGCGCGCGGCCAGCCAAACGAGGGTCAGCTGATTGTTGATACGGAGCACTTTGCTGATTTAGGTATGCCTGTTGGGGCTCCGGGTACCCCTGGTGACTTTGATAGGGCTCGTATGGCTGTTGTTGATCTTGAGCTGGCTGAGCTTCCGGTTTGGGCAGGTTCGCAAGTGTAGCCAAAATTTGTGCCAGATCCAGGTTCTGATTGACGTTTTCCGCCATGTCTGCGATAACAGCGCGACTGCACTATTTGATGGTGTTACGGAGACTCTCCAATGCTAAGATGTCGGAAGAGTGGTGTGAATTGAAGGCGGGCACGTTGGATCATGGCGTGTGTTTGCGCTCAGATCAAGGACATTGCAAGGAAGGAAGCAATCTTTGGCCTGCACTGCTCATACTGAATTGTGCTGCCTTCTCGAATCAACGTATCAGCGAGCTCCCGATCCGCACACGAAGAAGATACGATAAGTAGTTCAGCGTTATGGTTGACGATGTACGTTAGCGGGCAGATGGGCGGAAATCTCCGCATCGAACCCTAGTCCATCTCGACTTTTGGAAATCATCGAATCATTCGTTCTCCCGCTCCGCCATCTTTACGACATCTTCCTCCCACAACACTTATCCTCCGAGTGCTCTTCCCACTTCCGCCCACCATGTCGAAATCACCGAAAGAGTCAACGCGGTTTACAGCCACCGGAGTATGGGCGCACACAAGACCTGGCGGGCGGGCAACGACGCTGCAATTCGCGGATCCCGCACCGAAAAACGAAACGCCACAGCAGAAGGTCAAGCGGTTACGAGAGGCAGCGAACAGGGCAAAGATGGCGCAGGTGACGAGGTGGGATTACATGTACTTGTACGGCAGAATGGCGGCGGATGCGGCGCATAGATTCACCGTCTACGGCTTGATATTTGCAACGGGTATGTGGGCACCAAGTAGTCAATGGCTGCACTGGTCATTCGGTAGGAACGATGCTAATGGTCTGAACAGGTTGCGTCGGTGTCCTCGCAGTCTTCTCAATAGGCGACATGATTGTCTACAACCGACGGAAACGAGCAATTTACTTCGCCGAAGAGGAACGAGTCCAAGCCAGGATCCTCGAAGCCGCCCGCAATGCTGTCGCAGCAGGAACAGCCTCACCCGCACAAGCCGCTCTTGTCACAGGTATCGCCGAGGAGCAAGAAGCAATGGAGAGGAAGAAGGCAGAGCGAAAGGCGCCCTCCAAGCTGCTGTGGTGGCTGCACGGCGACTGGAAGGAGGACCAAGCAATCGCAGAGCAGAGAAAGCTGGCGGTGGAGGAGATTAAGCGGCAGGAATCCCAAGGCAACTCAAACCTAGGTATCGCTGCCGCGGTACAAGAGGCCAGGGCGAACGACACAACATCCACCTTCACATCATCGACACCAGTAGTCGGAGGGCCGCTAGACAACACAGCAGAGAAGGCAGTGCACAAGGTGGAGGAGACCGGCAAGGGCTGGTTTGGATTCATGAAGGGTGGATCGAAGAAAGAGTAGAGGAAGGACAGCGGAGAGTGAAGCCAGACGCTTCAGTGTACTATATACGACCTCAGCCTGTACATTGCTGTCACATTAGATGTATGCATGATGGAGTTCTTCAGCAGTTGAGAAGGAGTCAAGAATCATCTCGGGTATCTTCGCTTCGTGTCCATATTGTACATTCAATGCATCTTCAAACGATTTCCAGTTTTGCAACTCGCTAGTTCCCTTGACCAGCCACTGGTATATAGCTTCGACGTTCCCGTGCACGCTGTTTCCAGTCAGTTCCCGATCAAGTCGGCCTCGTTCACGTGTACGTACCTCTCTCCATCCCTCGACATAAGGCCGCAACGCCGCCCACCCCAATAGCCCCACTGTCGCTCCAATGAAGACAAACACAACTGCCTGGTCTTTGGCAGAATCTCTCTGGAAGCATGTTGTAAGCACGTTCTCCTCTTTCTCTCCTGCGCAGACGCCATAACCTAGGCAGAATTGGCGGGTGCAATCGTTACATGTCTTCTTGGAGGCGCGGGGTTTCAATTCGAGGGCGGCGGGCTTCTTCGTGCTGGGCGCGTCGAGGGCTATGATGGTACTATTGCCTTTGCAGGTGCATTTGCAGAATGACGTACGCGCTATGAGTTGTTAACAAGTGCCTGGGTACGAAGAAAAGGGTGACGTACAGGCTGCAAGGGACAGGGAGAGGGAGGATAGAAAGGTCAGGAGAAGGAAGAGCAGGTAT